AGAGGAGGTACTTCTGTTTTTCTGAAGTCAAACAATTCATACTCCTTAGTAATGATTTGCTGTGGAAAATACAAAAAGATCATACACATACATACATATATATATATATATATATATATATACGGAAAGTATTCAGACCCTCAAATTAAGGTGTAGAACCATCTCAAGGATGCTCAGAAGAAATGGACAGCACCTGAGTTAAATATTTGAGTGTCACAGCAAAGGGTCTGAATACTTAGGACCATGTGATATTTCAGTTTTTCTTTTTTAATAAATCTGCAAAAATGTCAACAATTCTGTGTTTTTCTGTCAATATGGGGTGCTGTGTGTACATTAATGAGGAAAAAAACTTAACTTGAATGATTTTAGCAAATGGCTGCAATATTGTTAAGAGTGAAAATTTTAAGGGGGTCTGAATACTTTCCGTACCCACTGTATATATTTACACATTTTTATCAGTGTTATCATTTTTATCAAAAAATGACAGATTAAATCAAATTACTAATAATGCACATTACAGATCTATGATATAATTAAGTAAAGTCTTACTTTGACACTCTCTGCCAGCCTTTTGGACATGTCAGAAGAGAGCTGGTAGCGGATCATGGGGCATTTCTTCAGGGCCAGCAACACTGATGTCAAACCCTGAGTTACACGAGGCAGTACACTGGGCTCCCAACTGCGACCCTATAAACATGCAGAGAAAAATTCACAGTGAGCCTAAAACAGAAAACATCTGTGTCAGATAGCGTAAAGATATGAAGAAAAAATAATAATAATTCCAAGCAGCACTATTAGTTTATAAGATCTTGTGATCTAACATAAATTATCTCCACCTGTTTTCTGTTCAGTATTGTAACATACCTTAATCATTAATAAATAATGACAAAATACATTTATAAGCAACTATGTAAAGTTTTGTGTATTTTTGCGAAACAAACATGCAGTTGCTTTAATGATTCATACAGGAATAATTAAATGCAGCTCAATCCACACAAAGCAACAAAAGGCAAGCACTAAGTTCCCTATAAAAAGAGTTAAGGCTGCTCAAATGTGACAAAAGGCTAATTTCTTTCTTACCCTGGATACTCCTTGAAGGTTGAGGGAGAAGAGATGAGGGTTCACAGCAATGAAATCTCCATAGAACTCCTAGAATAACACAAAATCTTATTGGTTGATGAGAAACAAGATTTATAAAGTTTGACAACATTATGTGAACACTGATTTTAATTTACTCAATTTTTTATGGATTGGATAGATACATTATATGAACACTGATTTAAAAAAATTTTTTTTTATGGATTGGATAGATGGAGAGACAGACCAGAGATGTAGATAAGAAGAATTATGAATTATTTTGAACAAATATATTTATACATCAATTATGAAGAAGACTTCACCCACCTGCACTTCTGCAACTACTTCCTGTTCATCTGCCTCAGCCAAAGACTTTATTTCACTCTTACTGATCACGTTACTGAAATCTGCACAAAATTATTCATTAGTCCTAAAGTTGGTTAAACGTGCATCGTCTCACCACTCTTATTATCACATATGCAAACTCATATGAATGAGAGATACACTGATATTTTACTGGCACTCACAGATGAAATAAACACTATACTTGGGCCGACGAAGCTCTTGAATCAGGTGCTCTACATTCTCCTGAAACCAGAGACGTTCAAGTATGAATAAATAATTTCAATCATCTTAAATTTGAATATTCAGTCTAAATCTATGTTAGTGTGACCATACTTTTCCCAGGACACGCGTCCTGGCCAGGATTTCTATATTGCCTAAAATATCTAGGCTTTGGCTTTGTTTGCGTGTGCAGACCGATCGGTGTATGACATCAAAATACCTCGAGAGCATTGTGAAAGCATAAGGAACCGTCTGTATGGTATTTTTGTGTGCTTTGTTTGCGTGTGCAGACCAATCAAACAAAGCCAAAGCCTAGATATTTTAGGCAATATAGAAATCCTGGCTAGGACGCGTCCTGGGAAAATGGCACGTATGGTCCCCCTAATCTATGTATACTTACCTTGGTTGGCCGAAGAAAGCAGATTGCCTTAAGGTGCTTCATGTTGTCCCGGTTTTTTGAGTCAATGCGCTCAAAAAGGTAGACTTCTTTCTGCAGGATCTCAGACTGTGTGTAGACCACACTTACGCGGATCATGGGGCATTTCTTCAGGGCCAGCAACACTGATGTCAAACCCTGAGTTACACGAGGCAGTACACTGGGCTCCCAACTGCGACCCTATAAACATGCAGAGAAAAATTCACAGTGAGCCTAAAACAGAAAACATCTGTGTCAGATAGCGTAAAGATATGAAGAAAAAATAATAATAATTCCAAGCAGCACTATTAGTTTATAAGATCTTGTGATCTAACATAAATTATCTCCACCTGTTTTCTGTTCAGTATTGTAACATACCTTAATCATTAATAAATAATGACAAAATACATTTATAAGCAACTATGTAAAGTTTTGTGTATTTTTGCGAAACAAACATGCAGTTGCTTTAATGATTCATACAGGAATAATTAAATGCAGCTCAATCCACACAAAGCAACAAAAGGCAAGCACTAAGTTCCCTATAAAAAGAGTTAAGGCTGCTCAAATGTGACAAAAGCCTAATTTCTTTCTTACCCTGGATACTCCTTGAAGGTTGAGGGAGAAGAGATGAGGGTTCACAGCAATGAAATCTCCATAGAACTCCTAGAATAACACAAAATCTTATTGGTTGATGAGAAACAAGATTTATAAAGTTTGACAACATTATGTGAACACTGATTTTAATTTACTCAATTTTTTATGGATTGGATAGATACATTATATGAACACTGATTTAAAAAAATTTTTTTTTATGGATTGGATAGATGGAGAGACAGACCAGAGATGTAGATAAGAAGAATTATGAATTATTTTGAACAAATATATTTATACATCAATTATGAAGAAGACTTCACCCACCTGCACTTCTGCAACTACTTCCTGTTCATCTGCCTCAGCCAAAGACTTTATTTCACTCTTACTGATCACGTTACTGAAATCTGCACAAAATTATTCATTAGTCCTAAAGTTGGTTAAACGTGCATCGTCTCACCACCCTTATTATCACATATGCAAACTCATATGAATGAGATACACTGATATTTTACTGGCACTCACAGATGAAATAAACACTATACTTGGGCCGACGAAGCTCTTGAATCAGGTGCTCTACATTCTCCTGAAACCAGAGACGTTCAAGTATGAATAAATAATTTCAATCATCTTAAATTTGAATATTCAGTCTAAATCTATGTTAGTGTGACCATACTTTTCCCAGGACACGCGTCCTGGCCAGGATTTCTATATTGCCTAAAATATCTAGGCTTTGGCTTTGTTTGCGTGTGCAGACCGATCGGTGTATGACATCAAAATACCTCGAGAGCATTGTGAAAGCATAAGGAACCGTCTGTATGGTATTTTTGTGTGCTTTGTTTGCGTGTGCAGACCAATCAAACAAAGCCAAAGCCTAGATATTTTAGGCAATATAGAAATCCTGGCTAGGACGCGTCCTGGGAAAATGGCACGTATGGTCCCCCTAATCTATGTATACTTACCTTGGTTGGCCGAAGAAAGCAGATTGCCTTAAGGTGCTTCATGTTGTCCCGGTTTTTTGAGTCAATGCGCTCAAAAAGGTAGACTTCTTTCTGCAGGATCTCAGACTGTGTGTAGACCACACTTACGATACTGGTCTATTAACGAACAGAGGAAGAGAGAACAAGAAATTAATGTTTTGATCACTGGTGGCAGATCAGAGTTAACACATGTCTAGGTAGACTGCTGATTAGATGTTTTGAAACAGCCATACTTCAAAAACAAATGAAGAGTTCAGTTCAGCTGCATTTGGTTAAGAGACACATGACATGTAGGTCAGCAAAATCCACACACTGCACACAATACTAGACTGTCAGTGGAATATAAACTGATCTGCGTTTTCTTACCTTTAAAAGCATATAACTGTCCTCTAATTTGAATTCACTTACCGTCTCCTTGTCCATCAGCAGCACCTTCATCCCGGGTCCGCTGCTCTCTATCATTTTGGAAATGTACTGCTTGACAGCCAGAGTCACGTTCATTTTGTCGTATTTATGTTCCAATTGTCAGTGAGAATGAGTCAATTGATCAGATCGTTTCAAAGTTGTTTAACGAACGATAAAGGACTCTTTTCATCAGCAAACTCCCGTATACACAATACTGTTGACGATGCGAGACAACTCTGGCTGCGCGTTCTACTATTTCCGGTGTACGCGAGCGTTCGGTCCGCGTCTGATTTGGGAACAGTTGTAGTTCAGTCGGTATGCCAGTCCTGCAGGTTCAATTAACTAGTTCAACTGATCTGCGAACAGGTCGTAGAGCATAAATATATCCCATAATTTAAGGCCGCTACGTAAAACGGAGTAAATAAAACGCCATATTGGTGAGGGCCAGGAGGCGTAACCATCACTGAACACTCGTATTTTTCCAGCATCTATTGTTTATTTATTCGTTTATGTGTTTTTTTTTACAGTCTGTGGTTTTATAGCATGGTTACTTGACGTTCTAATTTTATTCAACTTTTATTAACAATTTCATTACCAGTTTAATGCTGGTCATTTTTAATAAATGTATTGAAATAATACTGGTTCATTGAATGAATCAGTGCTCGGACCAGTTCAGTCGGATTCATGAACGAATTCTTCTGAAATATTCGACTCAGAAGAACGATTCACTCCCACAGACACTTAACACACAGTATTTTACCAGCGTCAACAACACTTTTTAAAATTAAAATTGATTTAGGAAACCTTTATTAATCATCAAATGAGATACTTCAAAACAGCTTTAAAATGAGACCAACTATCTTTTATACTGTCATGGGCAAGACAGGGAATACAATACTGATCCATTAACCACTAATCATCAATAATCATAAATTCAATTAAATAAAGATTTCCATTAGAAAAAAAATCAACAAAGATGGAAAAGATGATCATGAGTGTTGATAGCTGCATACAAAGCATTCCTATAGGCATGTGGTATTATGAATAGAGCTTGGTGGAGTGTTGTCAGTTCTCTTCATGGTAGCCCACAAGTTTTGCACTTATTTCCCACAATCGCAGGGCAGCGAGATCATCTTTACCTTCAGGAGCTGGTTCCTTCAGCTTACAGTCACTGTAAAAAGATTTAATTATCATCCGGTGTCAAGCATAAACACATCAGGAAAGGTTAAATATTCAGACATATTAAAATACAAACCCATAACACTCATGGTGAAGGCTTATGAATATGACAGCTCACCTGAAATAGCAGCCACTGTGAGACTCCAGCCCTTCAGCAACTGCACAGTAGATTGACGTCTGAGCGCCTTGACTGGGGGTTTTCATCAATAAGAGAGCTGGTAATGACAACAGGGTGCTGAGCAGAGGGTGGCGAGTCTGCACGTAACGTCCCAGTTCAGTGCGGATTACTCCAGGGTGAAGGGAATACACTGTTACACCAGACCCTGATTTAAAACAGAGCATGAATAAACAAGCCTAATGCAATAATCATTTGTAAAATGTTTTTAAAGTTTTTTTTATATGTTTGAACGTGGCTGATTAATTGGGGATGAGCGCACAAACCTTTAATCCTCTGTGCTAATTCTCGAGTAAACAGCAGGTTGGCAAGTTTGCTCTGCCTGTAGCTGACCAAGGAATCATATGGAGCTTTGTTGAAGTTAAGGTCATCGAAGTGGATCTTACCTGCAAGAAAGGTCATCGAACTGAAATATATTGTCAGTCTCTTGTTTATCTGAAAAAAATGTTTACATTTGACTGAGTAGAGATGCATAATAAATCATAACCATGTTATTATTCACTGTTAGCCTTTGCTGTTATCTAATGCTTTACAAAAACATCTTTACAAAAATAATTTAATAATACTGTAATTTTTAGCAGATCTCAAAATTAATATGAATTTCCATATGTACATTATGTGGTTGTGATGGCTAAATTCCCTTTTCAGCATTTAAAATGACTGGGATTTTATAGTTTATTTTTTTATTTATTTAGACAAAAATAATACAGGATTTTAATATCAGACATTTATTGGTGATCAGCCATGACATGAAAATAATTATTGGCTTATATCAGTATCGTCAATCATTTTAATAATAATTTTTAATACCATTTCTGAGATAGACTGGATTAAACTGATATTTTCCTGCATATTTTGTTTATCACATGCACAACAAATGTTTTATGGATAGACTTTTGGGGGATCATGTTGATGGGTGGGTTTTACCTCCTTTGTGAGCAATACTGGATACATTAAGAATTCGACTAGGACTAGACTTCTTCAGCATGTCCAGGAGCAGAACAGTCAGGAGGAAATGACCCAAATGATTGACAGCGAACTGGGTTTCATAGCCATCCTTTGTAAGGCTTTTAGGGCACATCATCACTCCTAATAGTATAATTATGGGTTTATTCACACAAAATGTGCAATAAGTAACAATACAGATTAAAGCACAGTTTGATTTGTTGCTTAACTAATAATGAGGTCTAAGGTCTTACCAGCATTGTTAATAAGTATATCCAGTCGATCCTCAGTGGCAGTGTATTCATGCACAAATTGCCGAACGGAGAACAGAGATGCCAGGTCTAAGTGTCGAACTACTATGTTGCCATTTCCTGTAGATCTGCGAATCTCTGCCGCAGCCTTTTCTGCTTTTGAAAGATCTCGACAAGCCATCACAACCCGAGCCCCTGGGGAAAAAAAAAAAAAAAAAACAGAAGATATTGTCCATCAGTCTGACTATGATGCAAAGTACACCTTAAATCCCTAAAATCCCCCAAAATCTAGACCAGGGGTCTCCAAATTCGGTCCTGGAGGGCCGGCGTCCTGCAGAGTTTAGCTCCAACCCTAATTAAACACACCTGAACCAGCTAATCAAGGTCTTACTATAGGCATCCTAGAAACTTCCAGGCAGGTGTGTTGAGGCAAGTTGGAGCTAAACTCTGCAGGACACCGGCCTTCTAGGACCGAGTTTGGAGACCCCTGATCTAGACCTTTCAGTGGTTGTAAGAATAAAATGACAAAAATTTCAACAGTGTGTTTACCTCTCATGGCCAAGTCACATGCTGTCTCTTTTCCAATGCCAGTGTTGGCACCAGTAATGATGACTGTCTTCTCATCCAGTCGCACATGACAGCGGCAAACTCCACCTGCAATCCATCTTCTCAGCAGAACCAAACCTGTTTTTTGTATTATAAGCCACATTCTTTCATTCAAGTCCAAGGGAATTCAACATGTTGTAAATGTGGTTGACACAGATTTTGAAAATATGAAAAAATGCTTTTAGTTTAGATTTGGCTTGGAAGCACTTTTTGGAGAGTTGGCTCATTGCCTTTATCAAATCTATGAGGTCCAGGATACAAAGAGCCATTTTGGAAAAATTTACTTTTAAACATTGCAGTAAATACAGGTGCATCTCAATAAATTAGAATGTCGTGGAAAAGTTCATTTATTTCAGTAATTCAACTCAAATTGTGAAATTGTGTTAAATTAATTCAATGCACACAGACTGAAGTAGTTTAAGTCTTGGTTCTTTTATCGCTGTGTACACCCTGCAAATCAGACAAATGTCTAACTAAATCCAATTTCGAATTGGCATCAGTGTTATTTTCGTATTATTTATGGTATTTATTAATACTTTAAATGAGTTTTTATTTTTAGATTTTCAGTTTTCATTTTATAATGAAATATAATAAAATTATCTTTGTATATTTTTGTATTTTTTGTGTATTTCTATTAAGTCTTAATATAAATTGTATATATATATGTATATATATATATATATTCATGGATTTGATATTACTGTGTAGTGAAAATAAAACATGATCACACAGCGTCTGAATTCTATTAGATTCCTCCAAAAAATAACCAAATCCCTTAAACTACATTAAAATCCATTTGAGCACACCATTGTACCTTCAGCACAATAACTCTGTATTGTTTATTATATTCTACAATACCTATGGAAGAAACTGCATTACTTCATAACTGACTGTAATGTTTTAGCCCACCAAAAGTTAGAATGAGAAGAAATGACATTATGTAACTTACTAATAGCTGTGACCGCAGTTACTGTGCCGTATTTGGTGAGATGATTTGACTTCAGTTCCTCCCACAGTTGAGTTACTTGGATAGAGAGATACATGTCATCCGCTGTGATGTGCTGTCAGCTCCGCTATAATTTCATTTTCTGTTGTACAGTAACTCTTTTCTTTGATTAAAAAAGCTGTTGTTTCAACTGCATGGCCACCGTCAAGCTCAGTGCCGGCCAACACATCTAAGCACCCTGCATTTAAGGCTGGGTTAAGGTTTTGTAAGAAGATTAAGTCAAGATCATGTTAGATTCCATGGCTTGCGGTCAGAAAGAAATGTGAATAACAAAAACAGTTATCCAAACAATTTCTGCTTTTAAAACAGAAAACTGTAACACAACAGCTTTTCATTAGATGCTAAAAAGTGTTTTGGATTTAAGATTGACTTAATTTGTGCAGTCTGAGGTATTTGAAAACAGCCCCTGATCTTTTAATCTTTAAAAAGCTTTTTGGGGTATATGGGTCATGTGGCCCTCCCACCTGCCTTATTCATTTGTTTGGCACTATTTTGATGACTTTATTATATTACCTGCCAAGAATAAGTCAGGGACTGTGTTGCATATATTTTAAAATGTGCTTTCTTATTACATCTTAACCTGTTGTTACAACCATATGAGTTTGGGTTGAGACCCAGGCTAAAAAAGGTTGCAGTTTATCCATTGACTATTGCAAAAGAGGCTATAACTGGGTATTCCTTCACTTTGAATTTGTGGTTTTTGATTTGTCACCTTTATTCAAGTCACCTTTATTTATATAGTGCTTTATACAATACAGATTGTGTCAAAGAACAAAATATGGCCTGTGGTTTAATTTAGTAGAAGAGACTTTCACTTTTTTGTTCTACACTTAGTCCTATAAGTTCCAAAAGGTGTTTTCCCCCCCAGAGATGCCACAAAAACATTTTAGATTCTCCAAAGAACCTTTAGAGATCAGATCTTTAAAAAAAAATCTTAGTGTGAAGAACATTTTAATAATCTAAATAACCATTTTCCCTTATAAAGAACCTTTTGTGCAATGGAAAGATTCCATGGATGTTAAAGGAACCATAGATCCATATTGAACCTAGATGCAAAGAACATTGTGAATATAAAATACAGTCAAATAAATGTGAATTTTGAAGCTGCTTTGTAAAGCAAAGTGCTAACAAACTGCCACATATTTCAGAAAAACTGCAGCTTCATGCCTAAGGTTTTATGGTATGAATTTATGTTATTGAACAAAACAGATGTTTTTTTTTAATTTAAAAAAATTCTGTTCTAAGAGCATAAACTGAACAGCTCTATAAAACATGAGGGGCTTCTTTGTTTACTGCTTATAAACGTTATCACAATAATGGAACAAAACACCAATTCGTTTTATAAAAATCGCAAAACTGTGTTGGTATTGTTGGAGAAACATGCTCGTTTTAATATGAAAGACTTGCAGCTTCGTTCAAAGAATATTTGGATATAAACATTTAATATCTTATGTCAATAATTCACTCCTGAATTCTAAACCTCAGGCGCCATCTTAAAATTAGTGAAGGCAGAGTGAAGAAAAGGATTATGCGGGAAGCATTGGCTGTGGCGCGAGACTGGCATACATTGAGTAAAAAAGCCAACGCTTTCCTTTCGATGATCGAGTCATGAGTTTGTGCCCTTAACTCTGCAGCGGCGGTTTTGGATCACTAAGTTACACTATTTAGCCGGCTAAGCTAGTGGCTGTGCATACTGTTTAGTGCAGATTCAATTCAAGTTTATTTGTATAGCGCTTTTCACGATACAAATCGTTGCAAAGCAACTTTAGATAAACATTGCCGTTTTAAAACAAGAAAATCAGTGCAGCAGATGGCACGATAAATGTCTCAAAATGTTAAAAAATAATGCGTAGTGTTAAAATTGACTGTAAATGGTAGTTAGCTTCTGCAAAACGACATTGTTTATTATAGGAAGTGATAGCCCAGGTACATTTTCATATCACCATATGCGTGTAATGTGACATTGACTTTTCGCTTGCATTTACGTTAACTAGTGTATTTGCTTTTTTATTATTATTATTATTATTAAATGATGAATAATCACGATCAACCCGCCTTTCTCACAAATATCGCAGCCAATCCGTGTGCAGGGAAACACTCGTGGAAGTGACATCCCAGAGAGATGCGGGGAGCGTCTCAGAGCCGCACAGGGCTCGTTGTTTTCCATCGTGGCAAAGCCCGCGAAGAATTAAAGGAAATAGCGCACTGTACATTTGTATCCTATCTTGCACATATGCAAAACTGCGCACAAGGTAAGAGTCTCCCTTCTTCTATCTGGAAGCAACGCGTCGGTGTTTGTAAAGAAGTTGTTAAAAGTTGTTCAATCGGGTAAAAGCGTACACAGCTGCACGGGGTCGCGCAAGACGCGCACTGGCCGGGCACGCGTGAGTTCTGTAGCAGGGTGGGCTAACGTTAGCCTCGCGCGCGCGCACGCTCTACGGGAGGATCGCGAGCGTGCGTCTGTTTTGACGTTAAAGCGACTCGTGTTTATTATGACAGGATGTAGATACTGAGTCAAGAAATCGGTTTAGAGGCTGATCCATGTCACTTTCTCAAATATTTAAATTATTTTTTAACTTTGAGAAGAGCAGCCATAAAATAAACAACTAAAATAATTCATATTTAAAGGCACATTTCCACCGCTACAACATTAGTACACTTGCTGTTTTGTAGTAATAACTCATAATCTTATATATATATATACATACACACACACATAATATATATATATATATATATATATATATATATATATTATGTGTGTGTGTGTATGTATATAGATAGATAGATAATATTAGTAATAATGATAATTATTATTATTGTCACTTTATAGCTGTCAAATAGATTGTTATTATACTGTATGTTCAGCCACAAACATTACTAGTATTATTGACAGGAGTGATGACACTGTATGAGCATCAATCTTTCTTTACAGAAACATGGCAGAATCAGACCTTTACATGCAATGCGATGAAGATGATCTAGAGCCATGCCAGAGTTTTACAGAAAACAGGGACCAGATATATAACAAAGGTAATTAAGTTTTTTTTAAAGTTTGTTTTACTATAAGTAAACCCACTATTTTTTATGTTTTGTTCATATGTATTTGGTCTAGAAGTGTTTTATGAATAGCATTTAGTCATTTATTCAGAAAATTAGTATAAATACAAATAAAAGTGTAATGCCTTTTGTTTATATATTAATTTACGTAGTTACTGTAGTCCCAAGAGGCAATAATGCACCGATACCAATACAGTCTGATGGCACCTCTGAACCAACATCAGCTACTACTGGCCTCGCAAATCAAGCTGTGCCTTTGGCTTCTGGTAAGAAGAAAACAAGCATGCATCTAAACAATATTCCAATGCTCTGTAGAATTGACTTTCCAATTAGAGGCTTACAACTTCCTTTCCAAGTACTGACACCTAGTGGTCATTAGGGATCATACACATGCTGCAGCTACACTGTAAAAGCACTGTAAAAAGAATAGCTGTGGGACTTCAGTGTGGAAAGAAACAAGTGTTTTGTTTTTACCTCTAGTGCCTGCTGTTACATTACTGCCTAATGCTGCCCAGCCAGCTGGAGGTGCTGGCGGCCAAACTATCTTCATCAGTACACAGGTTTTACATGATCTTTTACTATCATTGAGGCATTTAAACTTCTGTTTACATTTAGAAACTAGATGTTGTATTGTTGTTGTATTGTTGTATTTAAGTGATGATCATCTGTTTTAGCCTAATCCAGGTCAGCCTCTGGCAGGCTCAGTGAGTTTGGGAACATCACTTAGTTACCTTTTGAATGGACAGCCTATTTGTTTTCTGAACTCTGGTAAGTCATAACTCAAAACAGTTATTTTGCGTTATTTTGGACACATTTTGCGGGATGCATTGCTGTCTTTAAAGACGGCATTAAACGAAAATTCACCCTAGCGATTTTTTAAATGCTATATATCATATGGTGAACAATTCATCCATGCATATGTAAAAAAAAAATTACCTCAAACTGTTAAATAAATGATCATAGTTCAGTCTTCTGGTGAAAATGGCAGACTTCTCTCTGGTGACTTCTTTAATCATTTTGATACTTAAACCACACTCCTTTCTTACATTGGCTGCTCATTTCAACATCCAATCAACATTCAACAACCAATTATCAACAAGCCCTGCCTTACATTTTTATCTGTTTCGATAGTCTGTTACACTTGTCTTGAATGTGTCACAATACAATACAAAAAAGAGAGATCTGCCAGCATTTAATTTTATTGCAATTTTAACATTTATATGCACATAGAAATTATCAATGTTCATGCATCAACAGACATCTAAAATGAATAACTGTGTAATGTGTTCAAGAATCTACAAAATTCCAGAAATCTGTTGCCATGCGTTTAGTATTCTTTTTTTTATTTATTTTTTTATTCTCTGCTGCTCAAAAACAGTACTTACGTATTTTGCTGAAAAACTTTTGTCTGACCTCTTCAGCTCAGACATCCCAGTTAATTACTCCTCGGATGGTTACCCCAGCAAGTTCAGTACAACAAACAACCCCTGGAAAAATCTCTACATTGCAGATCCCAGTCACCTTGACCATCAGCAACCCCTCAAACTTACAAAGCATCACCTCAGCAGCCCATGGAGTGACGACTCTTAATGTGACACCCTCCAATGTCCTACCAGCCACAAATCCAGGTGAAACATTCTGCAGTTTATACTTAAAATTAAAAAATTTTAGATTATTTATCTCTCTGTTTTCTTTTTGTTTTCTTTATTTTGTTAGGAGCAACAATAAAAGTAATAAAGTTTACAAAGTTTACTGGAGCAACCGCAACAGCTGGTCAAGTAGTGAGTTCATTAGTGCAGCCCACCAAAGCCGTCACCATCCAAAACAATATAACAAACAGATCTCCAGCCCCGCTCCTGTCTGGTTGGCTTTTTCAGGTCACGAAACCTCAAGTGCAAAACCTTGTTCCTCTTCCTGCCACAGCACCTAACGGTCAGGACCTTTTTTCTGATGAAATACTGATTTTTAAATTCTTAATTTTAATTGCAGTATTGAGTGTTGTAGTTGTTTTAACAACATAGACAACAGTCTATTGATTAAACATCACTGATTTACATTATTTATTTGTTTAAATGGATAGCTCACCCAAAAATGAAAATTGTCATCAATTGACAGGGATGGCA